AGTTTGAAAACAAATAAAATTTAACTCCTGTCCTAGATGAGGAAGGAGCATAGGAAGATAAAGCAAACGTGACCCGATTCCACATGCTAAAATCCGACTGTTTTAAGGGCTTTAATGTTCGTCACGGGTTGGATAGTTCAGTGCATTCGGTATCTGGCTGCAGAGCCAATTGTCGGGAGTAGAGTTGGGCACAAACCGAGCCACAAACCAGAAAAAACTGACAAATGGGGCTGGTTCGTGGTTCATTTGCTGAAAGCAAGACTTTTTCCCCCTTGGTGGTGCTTCGTTTTGTTTGGCCAAAAGGGATGCCCACTCTCTCCCCCTTCCCACTGCCCCATCACTTCCCAAGCTGGTCCTGCCATCTCCTCCTCTTCCACCACCACTGCTGCATTCTGCATATGTACTCACCACCCAGCTGATCGGGCGCATGTGCAGAGGCCACTTCAGAAGGGGAGACCAGGCCTGCTGCCTCTGAGGATGACCATGGTGGAGGAAGAGGCTATGGCAGCAGGACCAGGCAGGAAGGCAATGGGATAGTGGGAAGGGGACAGGTGGGCAGCAGAGGGCAGGACCAGGCAGGTTACTGCCACCACCTCCACCGAGCACAAACGGGACAAACAAACCACAAGTCGGCCCGATTTGTCATTTTTCCTGTTTGTGCCCATCTCTAGTTGGGCGTTGAATTCCCCACTGCGCATCCCAGAAGGGTCAGCCTATATAGCCTTGAGTAAGCAGCACAGTCCTAAGTTGCCCCCAGAAGAAAGGAATGGTAAACCTCTACCTAGGAAGCTCTAGGAAACACCATAAATCAGAACTGACTTGACGGTTCCTTCGTGATCCTAAAACATCATTATTTAAAGTCATATCCTTCAAACACTAAGTATAAGTGGATTATTTGTGGAAGATTTCCAAGCTCATTCATGTAGAAGGTAGAGGAGAGGAGAGCACAAAGTACTGTCCTCTGAAGATGCCGCCCATAGAGACTGGCGAAACGTTAGGAATAACAACCTTCAGAACAAGGGCCAAAGAGCCTGAAAAACCCACAACGACCATTAGATCCCAGCCGTGAAAGCCTTCGCGAATACATTAATAGATAATAGATTGCAATGCAATTTGTTTGTATCTCTGTATTTGTTTCTTTTTACTGTGATTTGAAAAATGTAATATTGCATTGCATTCTGCCTTAATTTTGTAGCTAAAGCTTAAAGGCAAAGAACTGAAATAATTTAAGTCATAATTTGGTGTTGGTGGGAGATAGTTTAGGTATTGTTTTAAAATGAGACATTCCAGATTGTGCAAGATAATTGTTGGATGATAAAAAAAAATATTGCATCCATGCTTAGTTGTGGTTAACCACTACCAGCAGCTGAAGAGCTTTTGTCAGCAATAATGGGGAGAAGGCAATTCCCCCTTCCACTCGTGTGCCATCAGAATCTACTCCCAACTCCTGAAGGGGTCTTCGTGACCAGGTTTAGTGATCTGCAGAAAAGAGAAGAGGAGGTAGACATCCCTTGCATGGGTGGAAATCTGCTTGCAGAATATTCAGAGTATTGTTTTTCAGTGGAAGCATCCAATTGCTATAAGGCACTTTTATTTCCCCAACTGTCTGGTGCTTTTATCGGTTTAAGGTTTTGCTAAATTGGCTTGGGATGATTTAGCAAGAAAATCAACAGCCTGATCTGAGGAAATGTGTTACTGTGACAGTGCATGCAGGACAAAATTATGATATGTTTCCTATCAAGTTAAATAATTTGTGACTTGGATGACTGCTATAAATAGTTCCATTGTGGCCAAAATGCTTGCAGACAGACTGAGCAGAAGAATCATATCCTGTTCACAATATTCTTATTTCTGTGTGATAGTACACTTTGTGTATTACTTTCTGTACTAACTAAATGTATTACTTAAAACACTTAAACAGTAATCATGCCTTGTTGATTATCTAATTGATTTGTTAGCTAACAGAAATGGTTTGGGCACAATGGCATAGCACAACAATTCATGATCCTTGCATAAGTGTGACTGTCAATACCTTGTGTTTTAAAAAAAAACCTGAGGGTATAGAATAATACAAGCTAATTATACTATTTGGGAACAGTCTGTATCAGTTTGTCCTTGCCCAAAATAGTGTTGGGCATGTTCTCCAGGAATATAATCAGCAGCAACAGCAGATTGCCACTGATTAAAGACTTCAATTTTTTGATTTTGGGGTGCATGCAGCTCCATTTCATTGTGTGTGAACTATGTGTACTCAAATACCATGAGCGGAGTTGCAAAACTGAATTTTGATCCTTGTGTCTTTCTGTGCAAGTGTTGTTCATGGGTCTTACATTTTGAAGACTTATTAAAAATGGAAGATCTTTCATTAGAAAATTACCTGTGTTCCTTCTGAAGACATAGGAACATCCTAAACAAGAAAAAGATACCACGCTTTTCCTCAAGGGAGAAAATAAATAAAAGGGATTACTTACTATCTATTGCATGAAGTACAAATTACAGCAATAAATAAAATTAATACTTAGGAAGAAAGAACCTAATTTACCATGATTGTGAAACTATGGGGGGAAAATCAATCTGAATGTTTGATGAATTGTACTAGGACAGTGAAATAAAAGCACCACACAGCTCCAAAGAATGGCTCACATAAATAATGCAGAGACATCTGCTTGAGGCATGCATGACCTTCAGCTTTGGGAAAACCTGTAGATGAGCATAGCTGATTTAAAGCAGCAGATGCTACTCTAAGCAGCAAGCATTGCTGAACAGAGTTTCAATGAGGAAGGTTCTGCTCGTTGTAAAAAGAAAAGAAAAAGACACATTTTGAAGGAAGGAACATGTAGGAGGTAATGTTATAATTTTTCAGAGGTCAGAGTTGAGGTACAGGCTCTAGAGCCAAAACGCTGTACTGGAGCTAAAACTGTGCTCACGACCTGGGGTTCAAATCCCAGGTAGCCGGCTCAAGGTTGACTCAGCCTTCCATCCTTCCGAGGTCGGTAAAATGAGTACCCAGCTTGCTGGGGGGGCAATGTGTAGCCTGTATAATGAAATTGTAAACCGCCCGGAGAGTGCTTGTAGCACTATGAGGCGGTATATAAGTCCAAAAATAAAATAAAATAAATAAAAATAAAATATATATAGTGCTTTTTTGGTATCCACAGGGGTCTGCAGTGGCAGGAGAGGGGAAGAAAGTCTGGACTCTGCAAGCATTGGTTACCAGAGTCTCTGCTTCCTTCTCCAGTAGAACTGTACCACATGATCTTCTAGGTCTTCAAACACTGATATCTCTGGATCTTTCTCTTTTTTGCTAGTAAGGGCCATTTAGCTGGGACAACTGTAGTCATTTTCTGATCGTTGCTGAGGGGAAGGTGGTCAGTAAGGATATGTGAGGGCAACAGCTTTTGTCCTTTCTGTTGTCGCTTAGTGTATAATAAAGTGTTTCCTGTGGACAAGCCAGAACATCAGGCGGTCTGGATTCTTATTCTTCTGAGGAAACTCCATGGATATAAGAGGCCCATCTCTTCAGACATATCAATACTGCATGAGTGAAATGACCACAGAGAGACAGGTCTAGTGTGCTCCCCTCCTTATGTATTTAAAAAAATATGCTTACCAGATGACTAAATATGCTTACCAGATGACTAAATCATACGCTTTTGCATATGATTTTCAAAATTGCTTAATTACATTAATCTAACAAATTAGATTATTGGATGGTGGAATAAGGAAAGACAGCTTGATCTGCGGAATGAGAGTATCTCGACTAAGCTATAATGATAGGTGTTGGGCAGAGTAAAAACCTGTATAGTAGGATACCAACACTCCGTCCATAGGATCAGCATCCACTGATTCTCTTATCCACGGTCTGAATATATTAAAAATATTAAAAAGAAAATTTCCCAGATATATTTCTAACCATGAAGTTACCAGTGTAACAACCCCAGACCTACTGGGATATGCCACAGTTTCACTAAGCTGCCACCAACCATTCCCTATAAGAAGTCACACAGACCAGGGATGGATTTTTAACAAATAAAAGAACAAGGTTTATTAAATAACACACAGGGAAAAATAAAAGGATCAAGTGAATAAGATACAGTAACGTGGCTTAGTCTCAATCATACATACACACAGTTTGATTCACACAGAACACTTAACTTGAAGCACAGACCCTGAACCTATCAGTTCTGGCTAACCATACAGACACCTGAACCTATCAGGTTGGTACTGACTGACACACAGTAGTACCCTGTCTGACACACAGACTCCCACTCAAGCTTCTTCTCTCAGCTTCTCCAGCTCTCCCCTAACTTCTCCACACACGCTCCACATATATATACAGTACAGCCCCTCCTCCTGATGTCCCGCCTTCCACTCCCCATAGGATGGAACTTTCCCTCCAAACTCATGACAGACAGGTAACATCAGTGCTGTATGTAACAACCAGAACTGGCCACTAGAGGGAGGCAGAAACTCTGTTATGTACAGCTTTCACTATTAGTACTGTTCACTATAATCTGCATTTTTCAGCCTCTGTGGGGTGTGTGGATAGGAACTGATCCCCCGCAGGTACGGGGGTCCTACTGTATTTCTCAAGAGCTAGAGAAAGTTGGCAGTTCAGCAGCAATGAAGCCTTGTTTCTGCTGCCAGTTCTTGAGTTCCAAAGTCTGTATGTGTCTCCTTTTCCTTCCTCCTCCTCCTCCTCCTCCTTCAAACTTTAAGCAGCATTTTAGTAAAATTGTACGTATTTTTAAAAATGGAGGGGTTCTTTCAAAGCTTTAGAAAAAATGTGATTTTGCGAAATAACGAAGAGTTTAAAGGTGTTTTCAGATTTTTACAGATGCTAAGGTTTTTGGGGGGTGTTATTAAAAGACCTTCAACCATACCTCAGATGTAAATGAAAGCATGACTAGAACATGCCCATTTGAATGTCTGCTGGAATGAAAATGTTGAATGGGCACAATCAAACCAGATTGTCATTATTATTCTTCCTCTTTGAACAGAGCGTGGATCACACTTCTTGCAAACCTCATCATATTGAGGTGGGGCTAAGATGAGCATAACCAGTGACGAAGTGAATTTCTTGGTGTATCGCTATCTCCAGGAGTCAGGTAATTTGTTTTTCTATAAGTACACAATATGTCATTGAGATACATTGTTTTTACAATGCTTTTTTCTTGGCGCTTGCCAAGCTACATGGCACATTCGAAAGTCTTAGGGAATCCTCCAGTCATCCAAGACAAGTACAAACAACCCTTATGTTATGGGTTATAAAAAGCAACTCGCCTTTTGTAACATCAAGCATTGTTACCGTTGTTACAGTTTTTTCTTGGTTCTAAAAGACATACTATTCTGTACTTTTTGTTCCTTTCAAGAAAATGCTTAAGGTTCCTAACAATATTTCCATGAAAAGCCATCTGAATACAGTCCTAATAATGCAAACACACAACCAGTAAATAACTGGAAAATGCCAGTAGGATTCTAACTTCTGAATACAGAACTTGGAGCATAAAGCATTCTAGCTTCTGAGTGTAAACGCTTTGCACTTTTCAGTAGTTTATTTTGCATTAGCCAGGCTAAGCTGATATTAGCACCAGCACCCTCAGGCAGCTGTGTTGGTCCTACCAGTGTGATGTCTTTTATCAGTCTCCCTCAGAATACATTTCATACTTAAGTTCAGTGGTAACATATATACTTTGGATGCCAAATATACAAGATTCAGTACCTGGTCTTTCTAGATGAAACTAGAAGAGAATTCTGTCTGAAGTCCTGGCATAGCTACTGCTATTCAGTGTAATCAAGTAAGATGGATCACTTGTCTAACTCAATGGAAAGCAGTTTCCATGTTTTTATGCAGCTATAGCAAAAAAAATTACTTCTTCTCTAGAATGTGAATATTTTGCATGAAACATGTGTGAGAGTCAGCTGTTGTTTCTGAGCTGTCTCTTTCCAGAAGATAGTTGTTCTATTTGTGCATGTTTTTAAGAAAGATTCGGCATTTAAATGGCATAACCCTACTATGTACCAGAGTATAATGTATTTAAAGAGAAGGAAGGTTTACTGTTTTGGCAGCTGAAAAAGCTTTGGAGAACACCTGTGGAAAATTTCAGTTTTTGAAAAGTCTTGCTAGTTAATTACCTTGTAATTGTGTGTTTAGTCGTTTAGTCGTGTCCGACTCTTCGTGACCCCATGGACCAGAGCACGCCAGGCCCTCCTGTCTTCTACTGCCTCCCGGAGTTGTGTCAGGTTCATGTTGGTTGCTTCGCAGACACTGTCCAGCCATCTCATCCTCGGTCGTCCCCTTCTCCTCTTGCCATCACACTTTCCCAACATCAGGGTCTTTTCCAGGGAGTCTTTTCTTCTCATTAGATGGCCAAAGTACTGGAGCCTTGTAATTAATTCACTGTTATAGGGGGTTATTATGACCAAGTGCAGGGGACAGTTTAGAGAAAAATCAGCTAAGTATAATTTTCCTTCCCAGAAAATGAACTGGTATACTGTCTCTATTATGTCTTTTAACCTTCTTGTTCACACTTCCAAGAAGAACCTGAAAAATAATTTTCACCTGTTTGGCTGAAAGATCTCATTTTGCATCTTGAGTGTGTATGTAGATCTTAGATATGCAAGCGTGTTTAAAATAACTACTAGAAACTGTGGTGCTTTTACCTTTTAATGTCACATTTTTGCAATGCATAAAAGAAGATTACATTATATTTTATTTTATTTACTTTCAGAAATATCTTCCTAGTATAAGCATTTATCTTCTCCATTTGACAGATGGCTAAATTTTGAGTAGTTCTAAATTCTTGGCAGATACTGTCAGGGTCAGCTATCTAACTAATGGGCTGTAATTTAGATTCATAGTGACGTAGATTTGCTTCTGTAAAATTTAGTAGAGAATCATGTGTACTGTAATTTTAGCAGCTGTATAAAGCACAGAAACAGCATCATTTCTCATTAGTTCCCAGGAGCTAAGCAATGGCTTGTGGTATGGTATACATTTCTTGAAACTTTGGAAATAATTACTTAACTTCCACAACAATTCCTAAAAACATATGTATTCATTTATTAAACTAATAAGCTGGCAAATAGCTCGGGGTAGTTTACAATTATAAAACCCTTGAACAGTTGATACAATAACCAAAACAGTGGGAAAGCCAATTGCAATATTAAAATGTTAAATATCAAGTTCCTAGCCAAATGGAGATAAAAATAAGTACAGTAGCAAGAATCCAGCTGGTGATTTATGCCTGCAAAAGTGAAAAGTAAGTTGTGGTAGTCAATTGCTGCTAATTAACAAGATGAGGTGGGCTTCCAGCCATGCTTCTGATCACATGATCAGAAGCATGCCCAAGAATGCAACCAACATGTTGTTAATTAACAGCAGTTTTTGTCAACATGACTCTATTTGCATAAACATAAATTGCTCCTTGGATTTTGGCCATTTAATATTACATTCCTGCTGGAGGAGGAAGGTTGGGAAATTGTATCAGAGTGCTGCCAGACAGACCCCTTTGGGGAGGACATGGCACAGATAAGAAGCTACTGCAGAGAAGCCTCTTTTCCTTTGGAGCATTTTTTTCTCTACTAGCAGCATCCAGAGAAGGGCTTTCAAGGATGATTTTATTAACTGGGTAGAAATATATGGGAGAAAGTGCTCCCTCAGTTACTCTCAGGTATTCATTTACAGCTTTGAAGTTGAACATTGCCATTTTTAAATGAACCAGAAATCTGACTCGTAACAGTGTGCTTGATGCAACACTGGACTTAATGTATTTGAGATGGTCAGTCCCAGTGGGCAGCCTTGCTGGTCACTTCTGCACCGACTGGAGTTTCTGAACTTTTTTCAAAGATCTCAGAGATTGCAGTAATCCATGATGGAGATTGCTAGTGCATGGAAAACTGCAGCTAAGCTGCCTCTGTCAAGCTTGGCTTGCAGATGGTCTGTTAAAAGAAGGTGATAAAAGTTGTACCACACCTCCAGCTACCTGGGCATCATATCACAAAATTAGAGCTTCGTGGAGGATAAACCTTTCCTCCACAGGTGAGTGCACCCCATTAAGAATGAGAGAGCACCACTTTAACTAGCTAGATATACTATTCAGAACCAGCACCTCTGCCTTGTCTAGACTGAGTCTCAGAGTGCAAGTACACAGCAAGAGAAATGTGAATTAACTCACATTCTCTCTCTGTGAAGTTGCACCGGGGCATTTGGTTCTCTCTTTGATATAAGTAGTCACACAAGCAAAGAAGGAAAAAAGCTTTCTAGTTGCAGTTTTATTTGAAGTGTCTGTAGATGGTGCAGTTAAAAGAAACTGCCTTAAGAAGGCTTTCCTTCCTCAATCACTCATTTCTGTATCTGACAAGTAGAGTTCTTTAAGCTGTTAATAAATATATAAACAGGACTGCCCACTCAGGAGATGCTTTTAAAAAGAAAGTAAAGAAGTGTCTTGAGACAGGAGAGGCTTTGCAGAGACAGATGAGTGCTGGCTTTGCATAAACTCCTTGTCCTCCCTGGAGAGGCAATAGTCAAGGCAGAAGGGGCTTTAACAAAGCAACTCTTTGTGCGTATTTGTATGTGTGCTCACTTGGTCTTTCCTTTCTGCATCAGTTCAAAGCAATCACCCAAAACCTAAGCAAAAAGATTTCATTTTTAAAAAGGAGAAGTATCTGTGATGATGAAGAAAAACTACAAATTGGAGGTATGGACCCCCAGATTGATTCAGATGCACAACACTGCTGCAAATTGGGGTGGGCTCATTCACATTTTGAATGGGGGGAAATGTGAATGAGCCCACCCCAAACCCTTAGTATTTCCTGCATTTTTCCCATGTAGTTAGGCTCTCCGTTTATGGCCCTGTCTTTATTACTGAGTCCAAACAATGCTTTAGCATAACTGTTATTTCACCTGTGTTTGACAGAAAGGGGTTATAGAGTTGAGCATCACCTGCTTTGTGGTGCCCTCTCTTTCCCTCCTTCCAGACCAACCTTGCCATTCCTTTTGGCATACATCTGATTGCTAATCAACACTTCAGTGAATCCCACAGATGCAGTATATGGGCCTGCCAAGCAACTGACCTACCATTCCTGAGGCCATCACAGGAACAAACATGATGAGTGTTCTAGGATGCTCTATGGCACTTGCATTAGAACTTTTTGGATTAGTTGCTGCAATCTAAACAATGCACAGCTGTTTGTTTGTGGATTTTTTTTAAAAAAAATGACAATCATCTGTTATGTTCCTCTGAGATTTTTGGTGCCACAAGAAATAGGCCAACACAGAGCTGACTGGGATACTTTGATCACTGTATACTGGTGTGAATTTGCAAACATGTTGTTTTGCTGTAGGAGTGGGTGTGTTGATCTGTTGCGTGTGGTAATGTGTATACAGACAAAGTGACGTGGGTGTCTACCTTACTTCTCAGCCCCTCCTTCACTGTATACTTTTGGCATTTGATTTTCCAGACCTCGTTCAGGAAACAACGTGGGATTTTGTCTGTAACAAATAAGATATTTTCACTCTTGTCATCAGTTGCAAAACATAGCTCAATGGTTTAGGCATCTGTCTGTGGAGACAGAAATTGGGAGTTATATTCCCCACTGTGTCTCCTTGACAGGGGCTGGATTCAGTGATCCATAGGGATCCTTCAAGTTCTGCACTCTTCAGTCCATGCTTTACCATTCTAATCGTCCTTCTTGGCCCGGCCATTGTAGTGAGGATGGACGACAGTTAAGGCTAATGAGGGAGAGACCACAATGCTGATTATGCAGTGCTGTAGGTTCCTACTTCTTTAAACATGGTTGCACTGAAGCAATGGGGCTGAGGCTTTTAACAGGCTGCTAGTTCATGAGGTTATTGTGAACACTGGCTACTCCACTCCCAGATATGTACCTTCTTGTTTTCCCAAGGTCATTTCCAACCGTTCCCCTCGGCCCTTCCACTCTCTTGTGTGTGTGCGTGCGCACGTACGCACGCACAGTAGCTTATTTGGAAGCAAGCAGGCTTGTCTGATGTCTGTGGTGGCCTGTCAGCAGATAAGTCCCCTCACTCTCAAGAAGCACAGGAAGGAGCTAGGGCAGCTACCACTTCTCCTGTGTGCTCGCAAACAGC